CTCTATTTGTGATAATGATTGTCTCTATATAAAATCCCAAGGGATATACAAAAAACACTCCTAGAACCTAGAAGTGAGTTTCAGCAATGTTACAAGATACAGACTCAATACAAAGAAAAATTAACTGCATTTTCTACATACTGAAAATGAACACACAGAAATAAAATTAAAATTATAATACCATTTACAATTGCTCCAAAGAGAGTGAAATACCTAGATACAAATCTAACAAAACATGTACAGACACTGTATGCTGAAAAGGACAAAAAGCTGATAAAAAGAAATCAAAGAAGATGAAATAAATAGAAAGGCTTACTCATGAATTAGAAGAGTCAACAGAGTAAAGATGTCATTTCTCCCCATACTGACCTCTAGGTTTAAAATAATGCCTATCAAGGTGTTTGTAGACATAGAAAAGCTTACTCTAAAATTTATAGAAATTCAAAGGACATGAAATAGTTAAAAACAGTTCTGAAAATGAAGAATAAAGTAGGAAAATCATGCTATACAATGTGAAGGCTTACTGTATAGCTACAATAATAAAGAATGTTCTATTGATAGAGAAAGACACACATGGACCAATGGAACAGAACAGAGAATCCAGGAACAGATATAAATATATATATATATATATATATATATATATATATATATATATATATTTAAACTAGATTTTGCAAAAGTGCAAAAGCACTTTTGGCAGAGTGGGGGTGGGGAGTAAGGAACAATCTATTCAACAAATGGTGCTGGGACAATTGGACATTCACATTTTAAAAACTGAATCTTCCAGCAGCCATCTGGCAGTGCACACACATGTGTGTTTGCCCTGTTTAAAAAAATAAAAAAAGGAAAAACAAAGTAAAAAATGAATCTCGACCTATGTCTCACACCTTATACAAAAATTAACTCACAATGGATCACAGAATTAAATATAAGTTGTGATGTTACAAAGCTTCTAGGGAACAAAATGGAGACAATATTTGAGATCAAGAACTAGGTAAAGAGGGGTGCCTGGCTGGCTCAGTTGGTGGAACATGTAACTCCTGATCTCAGGGTTGTAGGTTTGGGTGTAGATATTACTTAAAAATAAAATCTTGGGGCACCTGGGTGGATCAGTGGGTTGGGTGTCCAACTCTTGATTTTGGCTAGGGTTGTCATCTCACAGTTTGTGGGATCAAGCCCTACATCAGGCTCTGCACTGACAGTACAGAGTCTACTTGGGATTCTCTCTTCTCTCTCTGCCTCTCTCCTACTCACACACACTCTCTCTCAAAATAAATAAATAAATTTTTAAAAAATCTTTAAAAATAAAATTTTAAAAAATAAAAAATAACAAAGCAAAGAGTTCTTAGATTTGACACTAGACATATAATTCATAAAAGGAAAAACTGATTAGCTAGATCCCATCATATTAAGAACTTTTGCTCTGTAAATCACCCTGTTAAGAAAATGAAAAGAAAGGCTAAAGACTGGGAGAAAATATTTGCAAACAATGTATCCAACAAGGACTAGTTTCTAGAATATATAAATAACTGTCAAAATTCAACATTAAAAGAACAAAAGAGCAAAAGACATGAAAGACACTTCATTGAAAAAGACATATAGATAGCAAATAAGCACAAGGAAAGTTGTCGGCATCATTACCCATCAGGTAAATGCAAATTAAAGACAAAATCAGTTATCACTCTAAACACCTATCAGAATGGATAAAATTTATTAAGACTAGTGTAAACACCAAATGCTGGAGATGCAGCAGAGAAGCTAACTCATTCTTGCCTTGCTGGTAGGACTCAAAAGTGGTACAGTCACTTTGGAAAACAGTTTGCTAGTTCATTTTAAAACTAAAAGTGTGGGGCTCCTGGGTGGCTCAGTTGTTTAAGTGTCTGACTCTTGATTTTGGCTCAGGTCATGATCTTACGGTTTGTGAGATCGAGCCCCAAATTGATATCTGTGCTGACAGTGAGGAGCCTGCTTGGGATTCTCTGTCTCCCTACCTCTGCCCTTCCCCGACTCATGGCATGCACATGCATGCTCTCTCTCATTCTCTCTCTCAAAATAAATCAGTATTGGGTATAATGCACTATTGGGTATTTACCCTTGAGTAATTAAAACCTATGTTCATGCTAAAACCTACACGTGAATGAATATGCAGATTTGATATACACAATTTAGATTGCCCTCAAGAGAATTATGCTGAGTGAAAAGTCTTAAAAGAATTCATACTATATAATTTTATTTATACAACATTCTTGAAATAACACAATCATAGAGATGAAGAACAGATTAGTGATTGCCAAGGGTTAAGGATTGGGAGCAGGGGGTTGTGGCTATAAAAGTTTCGCATGAGAAAAACTTTGTGATGATGGAACAGTTCTGTATTTTGATTGCAATGGTAGTTACATGAAACATGTGTGAAAACTGCACAGAATTTTAACACACACATACAAGTGCATGTATGGCTAATGAAATCTGAATAAATTTTGTAGATTGTATCAATGTCAATTTCCTGGTTTGATATTGTCCTATAGTTATGCAAGTTGTCAATACTGGAAGAAGTGGCATGAAGGGTACATGGGACCTCCATGTGCATTTATTTGCAACTTTCTGCGAATCCATAATTATTTCATAATAAAAGTAAAAAGAAAAATGAGTACTACTAAGAAAAAGAAACTTCTCTAAATGGGTAGCTACAAGATCAAAATGCTGTTGAGCTAGAGGTATTCAGGGATGACAATAATGAAGACAGCATAGGTTTTCAATCTCTCTGAATCCCCACATAAAAAAGCCAGTAGAACAATTGTAGAGGAACATATCCATAGACAACTCTACAGCAAATATTGATGACAAAATGGGCTCCGCCCCCAAGTGGACAGTGTGAGTCAAACCACCAAAAGCTAAGACCTGGGACAGTTGTCCAAGCAGGAGGAAAAAGAAGGAAGCAACAGGGCATCTGCCAGACCTGAGAACAGAAGAACCACAAAATAGCCAATAGTTTGGCAAACATAAGGGACCAGTTTAAGAATAGTGCTAATCTTTCATCCACCAGCATTGCTAAATTATTTTATTATTTCTAGTAAATTATACTTTTGGGGGGGGTTCTATGGAGACAACCAGATTGTTCATAGATAATGAAAAGTTACTTCTTCTTGGGGCGCCTGGGTGGCGCAGTCGGTTAAGCGTCCGACTTCAGCCAGGTCACGATCTCGCGGTCCGTGAGTTCGAGCCCCTCGTCAGGCTCTGGGCTGATGGCTCAGAGCCTGGAGCCTGCTTCCGATTCTGTGTCTCCCTCTCTCTCTGCCCCTCCCCCGTTCATGCTCTGTCTCTCTCTGTCCCAAAAATAAATAAACGTTGAAAAAAAAATTTAAAAAGAAAAGTTACTTCTTCCTTTCCAATCTCCTTTCATTTCTTTTTTTGTCTTATTATTTTGTCTAACACCTTCAGTACTATGTAATAGAACCTGAAATCCCTGACTGATTCTTGACTTAAAAAAGAGAAAAGTACTAACATTTCACTGTTAGGTATGATAATTTATTTAGACTTCCAGATGATCTTTATAAAGCTTCCATAATAAAAATGTTTTTATAATTGTGTCCTGGGCAATTATGGCAAGATAGTAACATTGGTTAAATCTTAGAAGATGGTGGTAGAGTAAAAATAATTGCAACTTTTTTGCTACTTCTCCTATGGAAAGTTGGAGTCTAATTCACCTCCCCATGAATCTGTGCTGGCCCTAGTAACATGTCTGACCCATAAAATGTGGCAGAACAAGGCTTTACAAAGCTATGCAGCTTCTTCCTAGGGCTCTTGGGACATTCTCTCTAGGAACCCTGAGATGGCCCCGACTGCCATGCTGGAAAGGCCACAAGAAGGTGTCCCCCTGAGTAATCTGAAATGCATCCAGTCTTCAAGCCATTTTCACCAAGGTGTCAGGCACTGAGTGAAGCTTTCTGGAGCCCTCCAGATCAGGCCATCTGCCAGGAGTATAAACCATTGACACCAACAGGAGAGTCAATCAAGCCTTGCCCAAACTCCTGAGCAATAAAACTTTAAGATATACTAAATTGGTTGTTCAAAGCCACTAAGTTGCTTTAAGCCACTGCTACTTGGGATAGGTTGTTAAGCAGCAATAGGTAACCAGAACATAGACACAGAAACTATCTTTTATGGTTTTACATTTTTTTCATAAAATAGCAAAATTGAGTCTCCTCCTCATTGCTGGATTTGAAGCTAGTTTCCACTGGCTTGGAAAAACAACAAAAGGTAAAGATAGGGGAAGTATAGCCTAGAGGTCCTCAGGTTCAATGCTAGATCAAGGCTAAGATCAAGTTTGTATAACCAAGGTTCCTAGTCTAATAGGAATGAATTAGAAAATGGTACCCTTTTTTTGGTGGATATTCCACTGCAGGCTGATCACTTAGTGATGGACAGTATCTTCATGCAATTCAGAAAAAGGAGCACCTTTCTCCAGGCAGACACAGCCTGATACCAGACTGAGGAACAAAATGCAGGCTGGACCTTAGCCCCCACTTGATCCAGCCTTCTTGTGTAGGGCACAATTCATGTAACCTATATATAATATCTTTATAAGTATAAGCAAGGCAACATTTCCACATGTGCAAATGACACAAATTCTTGTGGGTGGTGATGAACTAAATTGATGAGGATAGAAAGATCTTAACAAATCTGTGAGTGGGCAGAAAGGTAGCAAATGTGTGCATCAAGTATATACATGCATGATCAGTCACAGCTAAGGAGAGGGAGCTAGGGTTAAGGATAAATGCAGAGGTTCCTTCTGACAGCAAAAAGAGCAGCTACTTGATTAAATCATAAAGTGACATTCCTCCTGAGAACAAAGAAGTACCACCCACTTAACTGATGCTTTGATGGAAGTTGAATAAGGCGGAATCCATCAGGAGAAAAATTAGAGAAAAATTAACAGCATGAGGGCTCAGAGGAAACATGGACTTCTATATATCATAAGTAGGGTATGAAGGACAAACCAGTCAGGTCCCAATGGAAGCAGCTTCAGTGGTGCAGATGGTAACAATGACTACAGCATGCTTGGACTGGAAACCAGTAGACAGGATGATGGTGGATGGTGGGGAAGCAGACTATTTCTGGTGATGGCAGCAGTGACAGCATGAGCTGGTCTCTTAGCTGATACCTGTGGTTGGACAGCAATGGTGGCATTAGATTATTAATTTTGGCAACAGTAATGGAAATGAAGCAGCAGTCAGGGAATTGTTCAACAAACCCTTCACCAACTCTTTATTCAGCACTGACCACGTTTCAGGTATCATGTTGGGTGGATAAAATAAGTATGTTAACAATTATTATGTGCTCAGCCACGTAATAGATGTAGGAGCACAAAATGACCAGAACATTATATCCACCCCTCAAGGACTCAGAATTGAATATGGGTAGCACATGAGAACAAATAATTATGGCAATGTAGGAGTTGTGAGGGGGAAATATATATTGTTGTGCAGGTCCAATGCAGGAAGAGAAAGCATATCCCTTTGCTCTGACATATAGCATTACAGGAGACATTGTGTTATGCACTGCATAAGACAAAAGATGAATCAGATATACCTTCTGATCTAGGATGATTATAGTCTAATAGATGAGGCAGGACAAGTATAATTCTATAAAACAAAGTAAAAAGAGTTCTGTTTTAAGAAAGTTCCAGAGAAGTATTTTGGGAGTTTAAAGAAAGGCTCATATATAGTAGATATACTATATATACTATTAAAATAGACTATTTTAAGTAAATGAAAATTCTATTTATTCTATCCTAAATGTCATTTTTTCCTTTTTTGATACCCTTAAATATCATTTCCTTAAAACAGTATCTATTGAGTGCTGACTATATGCTTTGGCCTGAATGTTCGTGTCTCCCCTGCATATACCAAATTCTTTGGTTGAATTCTTAACCCTAATGTGATGGTATTTGGAGATGGAGCCTTTGGGAGATAATTAGAATTAAATGATATCATGAAGGTGGGTGGGGCCCTGGTCCTATGCAATTCGTGCCTTTCTAGGAAGAGGCACTAAAGAACTTGTGCACATAAGCACTCACTCTCACACGCTCTCTCTCTCTCTCTCTCTCTCTCTCTCTCCCTTAGTTACCACAAAAAAAAAAAAAGAGAGGTCATGTGAGGACATGCCAGGAATAGAGCTTTCACTAGAAACCAAATTGGCCAGAACCTTGATCTTGGACTTCCCCGCTTCCAGAACTGTGAAAAATAAATTTCTGCTGTCCAAGCCACCCAGTCTATGGTATTTGGTTATAGCAGCCCTAGGAGACTAATACAGATTTTGGCACAGTGAGTGAGGCACTATTCCCCCAAAACTCATGTCCTCACAGGTAAAATACATTCATTTCATCTCAATAGCCCCCAACTACTCATTCCAGCATATGCTCTAAAAGCTAAAGTCCAAAGTCTTGTTTCAACATCATACAAATCAAACATGGATGACAGAAAAAAACTGAGTGAGACTTATGATTTATCCTGAGGCAAAATTCCTGTCCAGCTGTGAACCTGTGAAACCACACATGTTATTTCCTTCTGAAATACAATGATGTGACAGACAGATTATAGACATTTCCATTCCAAAAAGGAGAAATATGAAAGAAGGGTTGAGGGGTCCCAAAAAAGTTCAAAATTTAGTAAGGCAAATTCCGTTAGATCTTAAGGCTCAAGAATAATTTTCTTTGTTTCCGTACTCTGCCCTCCAGGTCCAATTGGGTGGCAGAATCACCTCAGTGAGGGAGGGGTACAGCCCAGTCCATGCAGCTTTCTACAAGGGTGACTGCCTCTGAGGCACCTGGTGGGCCCACCCTTTGAAATAGAGGAGGAACCAGCCCTGCCCTCTAACTCTGTAGTGGGAATGGCAGTCTTCATTCTTGAACAGCCTCTGGGGTCATTGTTCCCTTTTGAAAGATAAGGCATGCTTATAGCAGAGTAGCTCTATGGTCCCATATGGTCTCATATATCACAAAAGTCCAATAGCCTTCCTTCATTCTGCCGTTCCCCTTTCATTTTGGTCCTCTTTAGTCCCAGCTGGCAGTGTTTCTTCTGGTATTACTCCTGGCTCTGCTGAGATGGCTGATGAAGCTCATGAGTTGTACTCAAGATCTATCAAACAGTTGTTCAGCCATACCATTAGTGTTTCTTTGAGAACAAGCTTTCTCATCTTTTGCAATATGGATAGGCTAAGAATTTTCCAACCTCCAGTTTTTAGTTCCTTTTTACTTAACAGTTTCTTCTTTGGTACATCGCTCTCCTCTTCCATTTTACTGAAAGCAATAGGAAGGACCCAGACCACAGCTTCCATATCCAATTTCATCACTCATAAGTTCTACCTTCTACAAAACACTAGGACACAATTCAGCCAAGTTCTTTGGCACTTTATAACAAAGATCATTTTCCTCCAGTTTCTAGTAACCTGTTCCTCATTTACTCTGAGACCTCACTGAAAGAGCCTTTAACATCTATATTTCTACCAACATTCTGTTCATGATTATTTATGTATTTCAGTAAGAAAATGGATGCTTGGTCTCCATCTCTCACTTTTTTCTTTCTGAGCCCTCAACAGAATTGCCTTAAATGTCTTTGTCTACCAATAGTTCCTTCACAGAAATCTTGGCTTTTTCTAGCACATAACTGAAAACTCTCTCAGCCCCCACCCATCACAACTCCAAAGCCACATCCACATTTTTAGATATTTCTCACAGCAGCACTCCACTCCTAGTACCAAAATTTGTATCACTTAGCATGCTCCAGAGAAACAATCTATTGGATATATACGTTTATAAAGATATTTGTTATAAGGAAGGGACTCATGCAATTATGGAAGCTGAGAAGTCTCAAGATCTGTAGTTGAGAGACACCCAAGAAAGCTGATGGTGCAAATTGCAGTCTGAAAGCTGGCAAATTCAAGACCCAAGAGCCAATGCTTCAGTTAATTCCAAAGGCAGGAAAAACAAAACAAAACAAACAAACAAAAAAAAACAAAAAACAAAAAACAAAAAAACAATGTCCCAGCTACAGGCAGTCAAGCAGTGGAACCTCCCCCTTACTGAGGGAAGATCAGCTTTTTTATTCCTTTCAAGCCTTCAATTGATTAGGGCCACTCACATTAGGAAGAGCAATCTGCTTTACCTAAATGTTAATCTCATCCAAAAACAGCCTCACAGACACACCCAGAATAATATATGGCCAAATATCTGGGCACCGTGTGGACTAGTTGACCAGATAAAATTAATCCTTACACTATCTTCTGGGCTCTGGAGTACAAGATGAACAAACTTTTTGTAGAGTTTATGTCCTATGAGGGGTCACATAAATAAATAATTTCAAATACTGCCAAGTGCTATGAGTGTTGACCAATAAAATAGATGAAGTGTATGGAAGGAGGTGGGGGTGGGCAGGCATTTAACCTTATAGGAAGTAGAGAAGGTCTAAAAGTTTCTGAGCTCAAGAATGAAATTGGAGTTATGCTTTGGAAAGAGTAATCTAGTCGCTAGGTGCAGAGTAACACATAGAAGAGAGGTTCTGGAAGCTGGGAACCTAATACAGCATTCAGAAAAGATAAAATAGAGAAAAGAGGGTCTGTGGACTCACTGAAGGCTTGAACACCAATCAAGCAGCTATCTACCAATTCTACAAATAATAAAGTCTTTCAGGTAGCAATGACAATTAAGGGCATAGAATTATACAATTTTAAAGCTATGAGGAGCATTAGAAATGATCTAATCTGGGGCACCTGCGTGGCTCAGTCAGTTAAGTGACCGACTCTTGATAATGGCTCAGGCTGTGCTCTCACTGTCTTGAGATCCAGCTGCTTAGAGCCCCAGATAGGGGTCCCCACGGGCTGAGTGCAGAACCGGCTTAGGATTCTCTCTCTTCCTCTCTCTCTGCCCCTCCCCCACTCATGCTTTCTCTCTCAAAAATAATAAACATTTTAAAAAAAGAAATCATCGAATCCACTGGTCACATCGGTGCTCACAGTCTCACACAGACACACACACACACACACACACACACACACACACACAGAGCTCAGTAGTATTAAAATCTAGAATGAGAACTCGGGTCTTGCGACACCTGGCTGGCTCAGGCAGTAGAGGAGGCAACTCTTGATGTCACAATCATGGGTTCAAGCCCCATGTTGGGTATAGAGCCTACCTAAAACAAAACAAAACTCAGGTCTTTTGCATCCCAGTCCATTAGATGTTCTACCTCATTCAACTGACTCCTAAGATACAGACCAGAGAAGAGATAAAGAAATCTTCTATTGAGTTCCATGAATCTAGCAAGAGAAAGAAAATGTCTGTGTTCACATACACAAAACTTCAGTTTTCTTAGAAACAATTTTACTTCTCTCCTTTCAAATTTTAGAAATAGAAAATTAAGCAGTGAATGTCTGCTATTTTGCAACAAACAAGATACGAAGAAGACCTTAAATATTATCTAGTTAAATCTTTCATATAAAGGTGTGAGAGGTGTGTTTTCGCTATTTCACAGCTTAGAAATTTATGCATCAGGTCAATAAGGTCATAGAACTAGTGACATGCAGTTCTATATTATAACCAATTAGGAAATGATAGAGAAAATGGGAAAAAAGATGAATAGGCTAGGGAATGAAAATGTTACGTTTAACAAATCACAAAAGAAACAAGAACAAATTCATTTACTGATGACAACCTTAAAAATCAAACCAACAAAAGCAGCCCTTTAGATAAATATTAAAGTGTTTCAAGAAACTCTAACACTGATGTCTTTGGAAAGGGGACCTGGGTGGCTGGGGACAGGGAGATTTTTCACAGTAAAACTTTTATAACTTGTATTGCAACCATAACAATGTTACCTATTTTGATAAATAAGTAACAGCTAAAAATAAAAACCTTCAAATGACTTAGTTCCTGCCAATAGTAATTACTAGCATTCTACAATCCCCCGAGGCTGCTGAAAAATGGAAATTTCAAGAAAGAAAAATCCTAATTCCATTCTGAAGAGGCAAGGGTGAAATTACATTTGGGTCAGAAGACTTTCCTTTGAGGTTTGGGAATCAAGAAGGAAGAGGACTACCTACCCCAACTACTATTTGATCAACTCAATTCTATTGCTATTATTTTTAAAATTTTTTAACGTTTATTTA